GATGTGCTCACCAAACTTTGCCAAGAAATCTGGACTAGAACCACTCGGCCACCTGACTGGAAGAGATCTGTATTTGTTCCCATTCCAAAGAAAGTTGACCCTACAGAGTGAAGAAATTATCCAACAAAATCATTGATATCACATGCAAGCAAGATTCTGCTGAAGATTATCCACAATATCATGAGTGATAGGCTAATATAAATACGCATACAACAAATCAACAGAAAATTGCCAGAAGTCCAGGCTGGGTTTAGAAGGGGTCATGGGACTAGGGATATTATAGCTAATGTTGGATGGATTTTGGCTGAAATCAGGGAGTACCAGAGGAATCCCTGTATTTTATTGATTATGCAAAGGCCTTTGACTTTGTGGATCACAACAAACTATGGCTGACTCTGAGAAGAACGGAAATCCCAGAACATTTGATGGTGCTAATGCGAAACCTATACTTGGACCAGGACGCATTCGTCAAAACAGAGCAAGGGAACACTGCATGGTTCAAAATTAGGAAGCATGTTCACCAGGGATGTGTCCTATCTCCATATCTTTTTAACCTATATGCAGAACAGATTATCCAAGAGGCTGGGCTCTATGAGGAGAAATGTGGCGTCAGGATTGGTGGAAGATCTATCACCAATCTGTGTTATGCAGATGACACAACCCTGCTTGCCATAACTGAGGAGGACCTCATGCACTTGCTGCAGAGGGTCAAGGACTGCAGCTTTCAGTATGGACTGAGGCTCAATGTCAAGAAAACAAAGATTCTCACCACTGGACCAATTGGTATCATCAAGATGGATGGCGAAGAGATTGAGATTGTTCACAGCTTCAGTTTGCTCAGCTCCACGGTCAACACTCTCCGCACCAGCAGCCAGGAAATAAAAAAATGTATTGTGATGGGAAAGTCTGCTGTTAGGGACCTCTCTAAAGTACTCGAGAACAATGGTGTCTCTCTGGAGACTAAGGTGCCCCGATACAGGCCATGGTCTTTGCAATCACTTGTTATGCATCAGAGAGTTAGACAATGACTAGGGAGGATAGAAGGAGAATTGATGCCTTTGAGCTGTGGTGCTGGAGAAGAGTATTGAATGTACCATGGACTGCCA